GGGGGGGGGGGGTCGTGAAGAAGGGAGTCTGGAGCTCAAGAGATACTTCGCCTCCCCGCCTGTAATTGTTTGACACATGCCTTGTTGTCACAAAGTGGGGTTGTTTCCCAGCCTCTGCTGGAAAAAGGTGCACAGTAATAATGAGTGTTTAACAAGGCTCATAAATCAGGGCTGATGAGAAGCGCTGTGCACCGCTCTCGGGCTGGGCGCACCAGGAAGACAGGGCCTGGTTGTAGATGGCCAACGAGAAAGAAAAAAATCACAGGGTCGATTGACATGTTACCAGGGTGCTCGGGAAGGGGAAAGGCGCGATCTCACGTCTCTGGCTAACTAAGTAGTAATAATAATACTAATACTAATAGTAATAATAATGATAATGATGCCGGCAGTGGAAACTCAGCTGATCCAGAGAGTTGACAGCATAATTGCAATCGAAGCGAGATCTATGAAATGAATGAGTTCAATTCTGCACAAATGGATCATTCAGCTGTACCGATCCGACAGAGAGGAGAGGGGGTGATTTTCAGATGACACATGCCAGGCGCTGAAACAGAAAAGAAGTTACAGGCTTTCGTTTTAGTCGGAGTCCCCCAGAAAAGAAAGAAAATGGCAAGAGGTTCAAAACTAGGCAGAACACCGTCCCCTCCCTGCTCGTGTCAGCAGTGCTAACTCAGACCCAAAGGAGAAGGAAACCCCTTAGAAAGACTTGCTCGCAGTTCAATATAAAGTTTTCTTCTCTGGCCACCGGCGGGGAGTTTCGGCAAACAAACCTGCCGCCCGGTGTGTGTGTGCGTGTGTGTATGTGTATATATATATATATATATGTGTGTGTGTGTGCGTGCGCGCGCGCATTTGGGCATGTATGTGTGTACACAACGCACAAGTGTGTGTATCCGTGTGCAAGTTCGCTTGGCGACCCGGAGACCAGTAACTGTCTTAACTCCATTCTCAGATTGCGCTCTGCTTAGCATCCAGAGTTAGGTGTCTCCTTTCAACATCTCTGTCATCTCAATGTGGGGATATTTTCAGCGGTTTATCACTGCCATCTCCAGCCCTGCACATTTCCAGCAGGTTATCACAACCGCCAGTCCCCCGTGCTGATGTGTTGGGCTGATTACCATCAGGACCCTGAGACACTTGGTGCGGATTCCCAGCACTGCAATATCTACTCCGAGGACATCTGGAGCAGATCAAAATCACTAACTTCATTTTTTTAGTAGGGCCAGTGTTAAAGCTGCACATAGCCTATCTTGCAAACAGCCCCTGGAGCCGATGCCTGCACAAGCAGCCTCTAGTTAAAATTCGGCCAGGCAGCGACCCCTATGTCTGGATTTACATTTCTTATCGGACCCCGATCTACACTGATTTGTTAATAACCGAAAAAAAAATTTAAAAAGGAAGAAAGAAAGGACAAGAAAAGAAAAAGAAAATCTCCTGGCAGTGGATGCAACGCTTTGAGAGACTGGAAGGACCCCACTGTCTTAGGCAAACTCATTCGCAGAAGGGCTTTTGTATAGTAAAATGTATCTGCCCAATAATCTTTGAATGCTGGAAGCGTGACCATTGGGGTCGATTTATTTTAAACACTATGCAATTTATTTTAAACAATTACCCTAAACATAATCACATTAGAGTCAACGCTGTCAGCCATTCCCCTCGTGCTTGTTTTCCTACGTACAGCCGCTCTCCAATGGAAAGTTGACGGCGTTTAACTCTAACCCCAGTGCCTTTCTTTGCTACGTGACTGATTGTTTTTCGCCCTTAAAATGTGGCTAGCTAATGAATTGGCACTGTGCTCTTTCTACTCGGCTTTGGTTGAATTTGAAGGAGTCGTTCAAATACTCCGAGCAGAGGATCTCAAAAAACAGGCTGGAGATATACATAAATATGTATGCATGGATTTAACACGAGGCATCTCGCAGGCGAGACAGCCTTCTTTTATATATTATATATTAAAGCACGGCTGTGCGTATACAGCAGTGCTTTCATAGATAGATAGATAGATAGATAGATAGATAGATAGATAGATAGATAGATAGATCTATCTAGAAATAGATATATAGATAAATACATAGATATATAGTTATCTATATAGAGGTATACATATATCATTTATATGTCATATATTGAAACACTGCTGTGTGTATACAGCAGTGCTTTTATATGTAGATATATAGATATAAATATCTATATAGATTTATCATTTATAAGTTACATATTAAAGCACTGCTACGTGTATACAGCAGTGCTTTAACATATATGTGGATAGATATATCTATCTGTATATAGATATATAGCTAGATATCATTATCTATATAGCTAGCTATATCATTTATAAGTTATATATTGAAGCACTGCTATGTGTATACAGCAGTGCTTTTATATGTAGATCTATAGATATAAATATCTATATAGATTTATCATTTATAAGTTACATATTAAAGCACTGCTACGTGTATACAGCAGTGCTTTAACATATATGTGGATAGATATATCTATCTGTATATAGATATATAGCTAGATATCATTATCTATATAGCTAGCTATATCATTTATAAGTTATATATTGAAGCACTGCTATGTGTATACAGCAGTGCTTTTATATGTAGATCTATAGATATAAATATCTATATAGATTTATCATTTATAAGTTATATATTAAAGCACTGCTACGTGTATACAGCAGTGCTTTAACATATATGGAGATAGATATATCTATCTATATATAGATATATAGCTAGATATCAATATCTATATAGCTAGCTATATCATATATGTTATATATTGAAGCACTGCTACGTGTATACAGCAGTGCTTTATATAGGGATATCTATCTATATATAGATATATAGATAGATATACAAAAATAAACAGCAGTGCTTTAATTCTACCAAGTGAAAAATGTCCGGCTAATTATTGGAGGAGGGTCTCACCAACCTTTGTGACTTTTGTGGGTCTAGTTGGAGGCAGGGAAGGGTGGTCCTGGCTCAC